CACTTCTCCAATTCTACTGCATGTTTTAATTGATTCATTTCCTATAGAACTCTGAAAAATCATTTATCTTGCAGAATAAAACACACACACAGAATTATGAGATAATTCTTTGTAGATTGTAGAGAAATCTACAAGTAAGTGATGAAAAACTGACAAGTTGTGATATTTCAACTGAAGGGCTGAGGGCACACACCTGTAATCCCAGTTGGGAGTCTGAAGGAGGTTAGATCACTGAGAGTTTGAACTTGTCTCAGAAAAAAACAAAACAAAAAACAAAAAGGGCCTACAGGTTTTCATAATACTTACTTTTTCTGGCCAAGCTGAGTTCTGAATTCAAACAATTCCAAATGTTTTTACTATTCAGTTGAATATTTAGTTTTGAAACTCAAAAATATTTATACATCATTATAGAACATTAGAGCACAATGATGCAGATGGTATCTTGGCTGCACGGGCTAAACCAAGTAATCTGGCTTGTGATCACTCCTGGTGCCTATTAAGTTATTCCCTGCATAACCAAAAGTTATTAAGTCAGAAAAGTTATTAAATACTTACCTCTGAAAAAAGTCTACTTCCTGTAAAAATTTTTCACACATCCCAAATAAAGGGTCAACTCTGTAGAAAAGAAATGCAAAATAAAATAAGTGACTCGCTGGTGAAATCTGTGAACTAAGGCGTGAGGACCAGAATTCCCAGAAACCCGAGCCTACAGAAAAGAAAAATGCATATATGACACTATAAAAATGAGACCTCAGAGAAGTAAGGGACTCCTAATGGGCCCAGGGGAAGTATCTGTCAGGATCCCAAGACCTGATTAAACCACTGCAGTGCACATCATGCTCAAGAAACACTCAAAATCAAAGATCACCGCGGCCACACTTGGCACCGGACTCACTAAGAGTCCTTGCAGCAGTCTCCCGCGCTGTGCAGCAGCTGTGATCCTACAGCTGACAGCTCGAGTACAAGGAGATGAGATGCACATCGGGCAAGTGTGGACAACGTTCTCGCTTAGAAGCCTCACATCCCGTAGGCAACAATGTGAGCACAGCTTCTAGGGTCCGCACAACAGATACATCCAGTTCCCAAATCACTGCACTTAGTGAGGCCCCCAACTATGGGATCTGTACCAGGAAACTATAGTTTCTTTACCCTTCCTTCAGTCTCGATGCAGTTTACTCAGGAATAATGCTTTCTATGGAAGTATGGTCAACCAACATAGTGGGCACTGTCAGGGTTCTCAGGAACAGACCTAGAAAGTATGTCCTTTCAGTACAAATGTATACCTAAATTAACCAGGGAGCACGCTGGGCCAATGTCTGTATAGCTTTGTGTATTTTCTTTTTATCTATTGTATCTATTTTCTGCATGTACCTTCCCATCTATTTTCACTAATGTATTACTCATTAGTGTCATTAAATCCTAGTCATGTAAAACCGGCCAAAAACTTTCTTTACATAAAACATGTAAGTAAATGGTATCAAGGTTCTTCATCTATTTGAGCTTTCTACTAAAATGTACACTCTGTGAGAGTAGGAACTTTGTATTTCTCATTATGTTTCCTGGCACAATCAACTTTTAATAAATACTAGTTGAATTAATAATTTTTTTAAAATGGCAGCTGCAAACCCACTCTACAAGCAACATTCATTTGAACTGTTTTCCCAAAAAGAGGCAGCACTTGAAAGTTTCTGAAGTGACACAGTACCAGAAAGGGAACTGAAATTTGATAGTAAGATTAATCTACCAAAAAAACAGGAGTGAGAAGGTTAAGAAAGAGAACTCCAGCCAAGCAAGGCCACAAAAGCAAGCAATTTGCCTAAAAGTGACATTTTCTGGCCTGCAAAATGAAGCCCCACCTTGGAGAGCTTCCAAGCAGTAACATACAAAATGATCTGGGTAGTCTCTCCAAACTCCAAAGGAGGGCAGTAGCCTCAACTACAGCATGAAGTACATGGCAGGTAAAGTAGGCCCTACTGATAAGAATTGCCATCTTTTCCTTAAAGTAAAGAAAGAAAGTAATGATTGATGTTCCTAAGCGAAATCGAACACTGACATACAACTGTTGGGAAGCCAGCACCAATTACAAATTGAAACCACCAGTCTAGATTTTCATTTCTAATTATGCAAAGACAACAGCAATTAACTAAGTGTTAGAAAAGAAAATCAGGAGCCATAAAGGATACCAAGCAGTGTCTCCTTTGATGAAGTCAAGGCAAGAAAGCACAGTAAGCTTTTAAAAATGCATTCTAAGCTGGATGTGGTGGTACATCTTGTAATCCCAGCTACCTCGGTTCAATCCCCAATACTGTAATAAATAAACAACTAAATAAATTATAAATACATTTCTAATAAGGATCGCCAGTAAGAGTGAAGAGATTTGAAAGAACATTAGATTGATAAAGCAAGAGAAATGCTACAAAAGAAAAGAAAGAAAGCACACATGGAAGTTAAAAATAATGAAGTCAAACTCAATGAATAGTGGAATGAACAATGATGAAAACTAAAAACGATAAATTGAAGAGTGTATTGAGGGCCAGGGATATAGCTCAGAGGCATAGTGCCTGCCTGGCAAGTGCAAGGTCCTGAGTTTGATTCCAGGAAGGGAGAGCGGGAGGGAGGGTATATTGAGAAATTTACTTAGAATATAGAGTAGAAAAACAAAATAAAAAATGCACAGAAAAAAACCACACCAATAGAGTGCAGAGACAACCCCTAAAATGGGAACAACTTTTTACCAGCCACTCCTCATACAAAGGACTAATATCTAGAATATATAAAGAACTTAAAAAATCAGACTGCCCAAATTTAAAGACCTAATCCAAAAGTGGGCATCTAAAATGAATACACACTTCTTAGATGAAGAAGTACAAAAAGCAAATAAATATATGAAAAACATGCAACATCACTGGTCATCAGAGATGCAAATTAAAACAATACTGAGATTTCATCTCACCACAAAAAGAATGGCTATTACCAAGAAATCAACCAATAACAAATGCTGGCGAGGGTGTGGGGGAAAAAGAACCCTTCTCCATTGTCGGTGGGAGTGTAAACTGGTATAACCACTATGGAAATCAGTATGGAGATTCTTCAAAAAACAAAAACTAAAGGTTCCATTTGACCCACCTGTGCCCCTTTTAGGTATCTTTCTGAAAAAGTTAAAAGCATCATACTGCAGTGATATAAGCACACCCGTGTTTATAGCAGCACAATTTATAATAGCTGTATCTTGGAAACAGCCCAAATGTCCATCAATCAATGAATGGATAAAGAAAATAGTGTTTATACACAATAGAATACTAATCTGCCATAAAGAAAGAAACTGAAAGAGTAAGCAAAATCCAGAAAGTACAATAGATATTGTGAAAGGGAAAGAAACTATTCAAAAGGAAAGAACAACTGGGATGAGGGAAAGGAGAAAAGAAAGAAGGAAGGAAATTTATATATATATAAATAGCTAAGATAATTGTACTACCAGTTTCTGGTGGTTTATTGAAAGGAACAGTTAATGCTTAATTTTTTTTTTTTAACCAATTTTGCATGCTTATATGTGGTAATCTCAACAACTACTTTGAAGATAACAATATGCAATATAACAACCATTGCTGATTTCCTATCATCTTGTTTTGAAATTCTATATCATTTTTAATGTTTTTAAATTTTTATTCTCTTTAAAGTAAAAAAATTTTAAAAACTAGTATTAGCTAACATTAAATGTTTGTAATAAATGTGATAGGTGTATTTTAGGGACTTTACATATAATGATCCAGTAACCCTTACTATAACCCCTATGAGGGAGAGGCAGGTACTATTATTGGCCTTACTTTACCATATGAAAATAAACTGAGCAAAAGAAATGTTAAGTAACTTGTATGAGGTCACTAAGTTTGCAAATGATAAAGCCACAATCTGAAGCCAATCAACTATGGATTGCAGCCTTAAAGCTATGATCTATTGGCTCTCACCTCACCAGGCTGGGGTTAGAACTTTTAAACCCTTGTAGGAGAAAAGAAACAAAGAAACCAATCATTCCAGGAAAAAAAAAAATCAAAAAAGAAGATAAGCAGGAATGCATACAAATGGAAAATATAAAATATTATGTAGCACGAGTAAAGATCAGAGGTAATACATTCTTTTCATGATGACATGGAAAGATAAATAATCTATTGTGGAGTGAAGGAACAGAAGGCAGAATAGCAAAATACTGTACACTATGATTCCATTAACATTAACACACATATTTATACTTTACATGTGTATATGGCCTGGAAAAAGAGGAATATATTATCAGGGAATCTTCACATATTCTGCAATATTTTAATTTTTACAATTATATTTAAATTGAAAAAGAATTTTTTTTAAATAAAAAGTGTAGACGTCATCATAAGCACCTTTCTTTTCTCACAGAATAATGAATCTGAGGTGTCTGATTTCACAGTGCGTCCTCCTAATCACCATTACTGCCTCAGAGAATGCTTACTAGTCTCTTCTGAAGACCAAAACTGATTCCTGGCCCTAAGTTCTTAAAGAAATTGATTAAGAAGCAGAGCTATAGCTCAGTGTAGAGTTCTTGCCTTGCATGTGTGAAGCCTTGGATTCAATCCCCAGCATTGGCAAAGAAAGGAAAGAAATCTATCAAGGAGGCCACATAGATGTCCTTGTGGCCACATGAAGTCCTGAACTGCACTATAGGTAATGAAAAGCCACTAGAGGGACTTTAGCAAGGGAGAGACACAACTGGATTTCCAAGGTTCTATTCTGATATAAGAATGGAATACACAATATCTGGGGAAAAAATGAATAGACTGTCCATCCCTTAGCTAATCTCTCCTAAATCTCCAATCACATATCATTAACTTTGGTGAGAACTCTGAATGCAGTGAAAGGAAAATGTCACTCCTTTTGACCAATACTACAACTTACCCTCGAGTAGTTCGCGCAGTAACTATAAGTTGCAAGGCTTTGGCCTGAAGCCTCATGTGATGTATTATCACCACCTGTTTGTTCTCCACACCACTGTACATGAACTCCATTTTGTAGGTCTCTTCCATGATCTATAAGGAAAAGATAATTAACAATCGCACAAAAAAAAAAAAAAACAGCACAAATATCAGAGTCTTAACTAAGAATAGTATAGAATTCCAATCTTCTTATGTGAAGCTCTAAAATGAGATTTTTTTTAATCTTACATTTTTTATTTTTTGAGACAGAGTTTTGCTATATAGTTCAGGCTTACCTTAAACTCACTATGTAGCCCAGGCTGGTCTCGAACTCGTAACTATCTTCCTAGCTCAGCCTCCCAAGTAGTGGGATTACAGGTGTGCACCACTGGGTTTAATCACTTGGTTAAAGTTAGAATTTTTTTTTTAATCTCTTTCTTTAATTCTGAATGAAGTTTTTTAACTATATACCACATGAAATTATGGTAGTATGTTTTCTTTCTTTTTTTTTTTTTCTAATGGTAGCAAAATTTTATTGAAGGTAGGAAAAGAAACAGGCTCTGCAGAGCAAGTTTGGGCCAAGTAAAAGATGCAAAAGAAGTACATGCTACAGTGTGAGGGAAAGCCTTTCATGAAAGAGAAAACATACTGGCCAGTATAATACATCTTGTGAAAAAAGAACATATTATTTTGTCAACTGAAGAAAGATTTCATTGGTAATAAAAGCATCTTACCTGATGTGAGATATGAAAGTTTAGCTACTGATGAAACTCGTTACCCTAAACAAAACTCACTGTCCTGTGGGAAGAAATGAACACCTACATGCTCCTGAACTGACAATGGGGTTATGTCCCAATAAACCCATTATATGTTCAAAATATCTTAAGTCAAAGAATGCACTTAATACACCTAATCTACCAAACAGCCACACTACTACAGCGTATCTGCAGTTTACCCTCATGATCACATGGGAGCTGCAGGTCACTGCTACCACCCTGGTATCACAAGCAAGTACCACACTACATGTTACTAGGCCTAGAAAAGATTACAATCCAAAAGCCCAAACAAGGTTTCTACTGAATGTGTATTGCTATGGTGTATCATAAAGTCAAAAAATTGTAAGCTGAGCCATCATAAATCAAGAACCACCTGTACATACCATGTACAGAAATCCAATCCCCAAGAAAAGTCTTCCAAAAATTAAACAGCAGAAACAATTAACTGTACGTTAGTCATCCAGACAGAGTATTCCTTGGGCACAATCTCGAAAGGAATAACTACAGAAAACAATGTCTGTGACCCAAGATCATGGCCAGTATAACTTAAGCTTACTCAGTTCTATCCAAATCAGTTACTTCCATCCATATGATGTTTCTCCTTCCCTTCTGTGGCTGACTCTCTGAAGGCCCTGAGGCCAGAGAAATGGCAAGATTTTATTTGATTACATGATGCTTGTTTCCTCATCTATAAATAGGAAGAAATAGCACCTACATCATACAACTTCAAGTAGTGAATGGGACATGAAAGTGTTTAGCATAAGCAGGGCTTCATGATGCAAGCCTGTAATCCCAGCACTCAGGAGACGGAGGCAGGAAAATTGCTGCAAGTTCCAGGTCAGCCTATGCTACAAAGTGAGTTCAAGGCCAGCCTGTACTGCATAGTGAAACCTTGTCTCAAAAAGACAAAAAAACAAAACAAAAAAATCTTTACTTAGGGCTGGGAATATAGCTCAGTGGTACAGTGCTTGTCTAACATTCGAGACACCCTGAGTTCAGTCCCTAGTACCACACACACACACACACACACACAAAGGGCTTAGCATAACGTCTGGTATATAGCATTAGTAATTGCCTTCTTCCTTCCCCTCCAAACTAGTGCTCTTTGGCCCCAACCTTCCCAACACAGCCCAGTTTTGGTTCCAATCATTAAGCTTCACCCCTCTATAATAAGGCACATATCAGATCTTGGCGGGAATCTGGACAGGATGAAAGACTGGGTTGTACAGGAGGAAGAAAACAGATTCTAGGTATCAGTTCTGACTCCAATAGCTAGAGTTCTATGAACTTAACCTTGCTGAACCCTAATTACCTCATCTGTGAAACAGACTTGATAAGTATTCCTGTCTGGTGGAACAACTGTAAGGGTTAGTTAAGACTTGAAATCATTAACCGACCATAATGTGACAATCACAGTTAACCATCATTTGCTTCCTGCTGGGTCATATACACAAGCACTATTTGGAAGACACAGGTTCACCAAGCCCCATATATAATCATATATATATATAATTTTAAAATACATATATTTTATATATATTGTATATATATAATTACTTACAAATAAAGGGCTACTGCTCAAAGCTAGGAAGAAACAAGCTCAAGGCAAACAAAATCAAGTACTACTTAATGAACTAAGCAGAAATGTAAGACCCTTTTAATGTGCAAGAGATAGCACAGATTACAAATACAAAAAAAGCCTCCAACTGAGTTTAGTATATTTTCAGATGAAAGATTCATGCAAGCCTTTATTATAGTATACCTGGAATATAAACTTGAGACTAAATCTCAGGTAGGTCTCTTGACACCAAAGCCAGCACTGCTTCTCCTATTACTAACCTCTGTCATAACTTGAAGAGGCCACAGCAGAGGCAGAGAACCATAGGAAGGCCTGTGGCTCTGCCATGGACTGTAATTCCTAGACAGAGACCCATCAGAGATGGGAGACAGTCTCAAAGAACTTACCTGTTTTGCTGCTGCTGAAGCCAAATCACTCTGCTTAAGATATAAAGGGGCAGCCACATTCCACAGCTTTTCCTGCAAGGCCTGCCCAGACAAATGATGGGAGAAGCACAGGTCACAAAGACTGATACATCACGTAAGATTGTATTTTTGTTTTGCTTTGAAATTCGGCCATGATCAGGACTTACTCTTTTAACCCAGTAAGACCTACCTCTTATGGAGAGCAAATACTTTGGGCCAAATAAACTCCTGTTCATTGGTCCAGTTCCTGGCCCGAAAGCCCTCTGTCTCAGGTGCTTGGAAGCAAAGTACAGGAGTCGTGAAGGACTCACCAAAATGCACAGGCAAACCAGCTCTGGGCCTCCTTGTTACTACAGCCACTGGACTAACCTCAGCCGCCTTTCTTCCTTCACTGAGGCCATTTTCCCTTTGCTCCTGCCCTTGCTATTCTTTGAAGAGCTCCATTAGCTTCCAACATAACCAAACCAGAGGTCAAACAGCTTTCCTAAATTCTTCTTCCTCAATCATCCCCTCAAAACTATCACTAACAGTCACAGACCTTACCTTCCATCCCCTCACCAATCCGTACACATGACCCCAACTCTCCCAGA